GGATGCTCTTGAACTCCTGAACTGAGATCCACCCGCCTTGGCCTCCCAAAGTGCTGGGATTATAGGCATGTGCTACCACACCTGGCCGTCTTACTACTTTTTAAAATTTTATTTTTTGTATATATGGACAAGGTTTGACTATGTTGTCCAGTCTGGTCTCCAACTCCTAGGCCGAAGCAGTCCTCCTTGCTCAGCCTTTCAAAGTGCTGGGACTATAGGCTTAAGCCAACCACAGCTACCCTGATTATATCTTTAAAGGCCCCGTCTCCAAATACAGTTAGGATTTTAATTGTATCACCTCCTGCTACTACCACAAACAATGATGAATTTTTTCATAATGAAATAAAATCAAAATTCATCATTTTTTGTGGTGGTGGCAGGAGGTGATACAATTCAGTCCGTCATAATTATGGTCACCACACATGAAGGCCACTTTTGGTATTTTATTTAACCTCTCAGAATGGCATTTTATACTGTGAAGAAGCTTTCTAATTTCAAATTCACTCATTCTTTAGTTTTAGTGCTTTAACTTTGAGGTTTCTAATTTGAAATTCACTCATTCGTTTTCATAGTGCTTTAACTTTGAGGTTTTCTTCCTTTGCTCTTTCCACTTTCCACTCTCTTTTGCTTTTTACTGCTGCATATCACTTTCCTGAGGGATTTGCTGCATGTCCATTGTTTCAGTCACTACCTGTCTGGGTGGTGGGTCTCACATCACATGTCCAGTCCACTAAGTTCCAAGGTCGCATCTTTAACACAGACTTTCATGATATGCGTAGTTCTTGAGCCAGTAGCATAAACATCACCTGAGTGCTGCTGTGAAATGTACAACCTTGAGCCCTGCCCCAGAACTACTAAATCTGAATTTGCATTTTGGTGAGATCCCCTGATGAGATTTACACCTAGTAAGTTTGAAAGTAGCATTCTATTTAATTTCTCTATCTAGACATTCCAAAGAAATCTCAAACTGAACATGTTAAGAATGAAATCATTAATTCCTTAGTCTTCACTCATTTATTCATTGATGACTGTTTATTGGGGCTACGGTATGCAACACCACTGCGCTATGATTTATAGCAGTGAACAAAACAAACAAAATAAACAACAAAATGTCTGCCCGCCTGAATCTTTCATTCTAGAGCCTGGAGACAGATGAAAACAATGAAGCCTGATCAATCCGTATATTACATACATAGGTGGCTAGAAAGTGATATGTGCCTTGGAAAGATGAAAATATTGAGCAAAATAAAAAATGACCATAAGTATAATGTGGGACACTGAGAAGGTGAGATTTCCCTTCCTTTATTTCTTATCTCGGGAATGACATGACCATCTCCTCACATGAGCAGGGAAGACACAGTTAGAAATTGTGTATATTATCTTAACACTCTTACTTTAACCTGTCAATTCTGGATTTCTAATGTCTTTCAAATCTTTCACTTGTTTTTCTGTTCACTAACAGGCTCTTTCTCACCTCCTCAGCTTTCCCCCTCTCCTTCATAGCCACCTAAGTGATCTCACTGCTCTTCTATTCCCAAAGTGCTGCCATGATGATGACGACACCTGCTAGAAAACTTAATTATTTCCAACTGCCTTTTGAATAAAACAGAAACACCTTATGATGATCAGTAAGACTGATGAGAAAATGGTTTCTTCTTACCATTTTGCTATAATTCATTCCCATAAACACAGTCCTCACAAATGAAACTGCATAGTACTGGATTTTCCTTCCTCTTACCCTTACACATCCTGGCTTTTTGTTTGGTTCGCTTGTTTATTTTTCATGGAACATTGAAGTGCTACCTTCTTTTGTAAGTATCTTCTCCATGCATTAAAATTAAAATCTTTTCTCTGCATTAAAATACCTCTCTGTATTAAAATTTTGCACTATTAACACTGTATTATTATTATTATTATTATAGGTTTTCCTCAGAATATGTGTTCTCAGAAGGCAGGGGCTCTCTTGCTTACCTGTGAATCCTTAATGCCCATAAAAAACTTAGTACTCAATAGTGTTTATTACTTTGTGACCAACAACTGATAGGCGATGCTTCATAGAATGAGTGGAAATCTTCTACGATACAATTGTTTCAGAATAAATATGTGCAAAGATATGAAGGTGTGTTTGGGAAACAGAAAGGACCTCACTTTTGTGGGACCCTAAAGTATGATTTGGGTTGTTGCTGAAATTAAGATGAGAAGGTACCTTGCACATCTTTCCAAGAAACTTGGATATCATGCTGTGGAGAAGCCTTTGAAGGACGTTAAGTGAGTAACCTTGCAACCTGCGTGGGGTGCAGCAGGGGCTCAGCTCCCTCCCCATCAATTGCCAAAGATGTAACTGGGATGGGAGCAGAGCTGTGGGGGCATCCCAAAGACACTTCCAGTTCCCCAATCTCTTGTGCCTAGGTCCTTTGCCTCTCTTGCCCCAGGAACGGGGGAAGGGGCCCTGGAGGCCTGGTGAACTGTTAGAATAAATATCACGGACCCAAAGAGTTTAGCAGAGAGAGATTTATTGGCAGAGAGAGAGAGAAAGAGAGAAGGAGCAAGAGAGCTCCCAGGCTGCCCTGGGAGGGGAATCCGGAGGGGATATCCACACAGGTAAGGGCAGTGGGTTTTTAACCCTGAAGTTATTCTAGCCCCATTTATGTTCTCGTCTGATGAGAAGAGTTCTTTCAAACTTCCTCTGTGGTGATTGATCTTTGACTCTGATACTGGATTGGCTGCTAGGTCCGCAGCAGAGGCCCTTCCTCCCAGAGCTTTTGGAGGGCTTTCTGAACAAAGAAGCTCACCTGGAGTTTCTACCTAGCTCCGTGGGAAAGTCAGACAAAGAATTTCATGTTCCCCGATGGGAAGTAGATGGAGGCATGGCGCTGGGAAGCTCTTGCTTTTGAAACCATGCCCCTTGTGGGCTCGGTTTTCCTTAACATAGTCCCTCAACATAATCTGTGGAATATCAAATTTGAATTTTAGAAAGTGGCTGTTACTGAGAATGGGAAGAGACTGGAAGGATGTCACCTTAGGGTGGTAAGTCCAGAGAAAGCTGGTAAGGGCTTGGATGAAGGCAAAGGCAGTACAGCCATGGGAAGGAGGACTGGAAAAGAAAGACATGCCGCTTTCCCCATGGGGATCTATTGATTGTGAAGGGAGAAGTGAACCTGGTCCTGACCACCAAGACGGAAGTAGTTGATTTAGTGTCCATAAAAATATATTCAGTTTTTCATCATCAGTTTAAAAGTCTCAACATTCCCTCAATTTGGGCCTGGTCTGTTCATTTTTAGAAGATTCTTTGATTCCAAACAGGTGATCATTTATATTGAATGAAATTTAGGACAGGAGTCACATATTCTGCTGTTCATTAAACCCCACCTTTCCAAAAAAGGATTAGTCTGATTCCTCAATTATGTTTTGGTAGCTGCAACATATAAATTGATATTTGTTCATGCGTTCCTATTAGTAGAGATATGGCCATCTTTGAGGGACTTATTTTCTGGCAAAGGAAACTGACTGAAAGTAGTAAACATGTAATATACTTTCTGTGCTATCAGGAAAATAAAGCCTTTGTTGTCATCAATCTAAGTTAAGAGTTAAGTCAGATTTGTGCTTTTTGCAACCACTTTATCACTTATCTTGTCCAGCTTTTCTAAAAACTTGTTTAAATACTCACCAAACACTTGTCCTAAAAACTTCTTATTTTCTTATGATGTTACATATTTGAAAATAATATTTATCTTTTTTTGCAATATTCACTAATAGTTCTTTAAAAACCAATAAGTGTGTATCCAGCCTGGGCAGCATGGCAAGATATCTCATCTCTTAAAAAATAAATAAAATAAAATAAAATAAAAGTAATAGGAGAGATGACTAAAAATTCATGAAATTGAGCAACAGAGCTGAAAAAATGAGATTTCATTTAAAAAAATGCTACTGCAGCTATAATTTAGAATTACCCTCTTCTTTGATCTCATTTTTAAACAAATTATATTTTAAATTTTAATGAGAAATGGCATTTCATAATGCTACATTTTAACTGCTTATTCCATAAATTTCTAAAGTTTACTTTCCTTCCAACGTTTCCTTCTTCTGCCCCTTCCTCTAATCTAGAGAGCATCTCCTATGATCAGCCTAGGGCTTTTCATTTCTTTTTCCAAAGCAATTGTGTATGTCAAAAAAAAAAAAAAAAATCATAATGAAGGCCTTTAGGGTTTGGCCTTTTGAAATGCTAAAACTCAAGTTCTTGGTTTTCCAAAGTGTTGGTTTTAGAACTCCAAAGCTTTTGCTTTCTAAGTTAAAACAAAACAGAACAAAAAACCCTGCTCTTTGTTGAATTTTTCCTCCCATAATTGATATGGAGAAGGAAAATAGTGTGGGAGGAAAGAGTCTTTGTAACTATATTGACTATTCTTCCTTCCAGTAACTTTTATTTTCATGGTTCTGGAATACCCTGCATTTCTGGGTTTGGGTTATATTTAATAAAGACATTACTTTATGCTCTTAGATCCCAAGAATATCCAAATAGGAAAATAGCCTACTACACTTTTCATCGGTAAGCAATCACTGGCCATGTTGTAAGTCTCTGGTATTTTCCACTGGGAAAAGAAAATTATTAATACGCTCATAGTGGCTTAGGTGACAACAGGTAGTGAGGACTTTTAGGGAGGCTAAATGATGTGATGTCTATGTGCGTCAGTATGTACTATTCCCAACCTCTTGGATGTGGAGTTATATAAGATTCATACCCAGTGAACACTTTTACTCCAAGAATAATTTCAAATATTAGCTTTTTTTTAAAAAAAAAAAGGTAATGTGTTTTCATCATGGTGGTAAGAAAAGTACTTAAAATATATGAAAATAAATAGAGAAAAAAATTATATTCTAAATATTATGCATAACAATATAAAAATTACATCCTAAACATTACATATGACAATATATATCATTTTTGATGGCCTTTATTGAGAATGTTTGGTTTTAACTGTTTTCTTTCTTCTTCCATTTAGAGAATTTATCAACAGCCTTCGACTGTACAGGTCATTCTATGGAGGTCTAGCTGATCAGCTTTGTGCTAATGAATTAGCTGCTACTGATGGACTTCCCTGCTGGAATGGAGAAGATATAGTAAAAAGGTATTTTATGTGGTCTGTGAAAACCTGATTACTTCCGTCTTTGCTTTCTTTTCCTGAATCTTAAGGGGATTACTTCAGTCTTAACTTTGTCACACAGTTTATAGTCTACCTTAAATATTTATCTTTAGTTGGTTCAAAAACAAAGAAGAGAACAAACTTGATCCTTTTAGGTATCTTAAAACTAATAGCATTCTGTGGTATATTGAAAGTCTTCTCTTTCACCTATCTATGACTTACCCAACAATCCTAACTTTGAATTAAATACCATTTTTTTTAATCCGGTCTGTCTGTTGTTAACCAAATATTGTATTTCTTTTTTGGTTTAAATTCATAAATATTAGAAAGTGAGGAAATTAAGTGAAATGTGAATACCTATACAAAGATTCATTGGTATGTGCATATGTGTCTCAACTATGTTAATATGTCCACATCCTACAGTGATCTGATAGAAAGAGAGAGCGTGTGTGTGTGTGTGTGTGTGTGTGTGTGAGAGAGAGAGAGAGAGAGAGAGAGAGAGAGCGCCACTATGTAATAGTGGGGGCATATATATATCTGTTTGAGGCATTGTCAATTATTCTCAAGCTTAGGAGTGAAACTCCACTTTTACTTTTCTTTCCTCCCTGTCTAGAATTTCTTTGACAGTTTCTTTTCCTTTATTTCCTGACTGTACTTTCAAGCAATCTCCTGACCTTAAGAAACTCATAAATTCTCCCTCTGTGGCAAATTAAACTGGTTGGGGAAAAGTCCCTTGCTTTGTCAACACTGGTGGTTATTATAGAATGTAGGATAATGAGGTTTTGTGTTTGGATTTGAATCTGTTAAATTATAAAATAAATGTATTTTTATTTATACATTTTACTTTTTGGATGTGAACCATTAAAAAGTATACTTTGGATTTGAATCTATTAAAAATGTATTTTTGAGCAAACTACAAAAAAGAGAGATGGGGTGTTAAGCTTTCTGACTGATATGGTTTGGCTGTGTCTCCACCCAAGTATCATCTTGTTGTAGGGAGTTGTAGTTCCCATAATCCCCATGTATCCTGGGAGGGACCTGGTGGGAGATAATTTAATCATAGGGATGGTTTCCTCCATCCTATTCTATGGATAGTGAGTTAATTCTCAAGAGATCTGTTGGTTTTATAAGAGGTTTCCCCCTTCATTGGGAACATATACTTCTCTTTGTTGTTGCCTTGTGAAGAAGGACATGGTTGCTTCTGCTACCACCATGACTGTAAATTTCATGAGGCCTCCCCAGCCATGCTGAACTGTGAGTCAATTGAACTTCCTTCCTTTGTAAATTACCGAGTCTGGGGTATTTCTTCATAGCACTATCAAAATGGACTAATACATTGACTTACAAATAAACCTACTCTATATGCATATAGGTGGTTAAGTTACCACAAAAGTGATGAGCTTATTTAAAATGTTATTTAGCAAATTAACTTTGCTATGATAAACATATACAATAATCAATTTTTAATAGAAATTTATATAACAAAGCTGTTTATTTCTGGGTGATCATTTTCATTAAAGTTAAAAGCTACATTTTTGAAATATTAAATAATTATTTTATTAATATCCTAACTGAATATCTGAATTTCTCATAGAGACTTAGAGTTCAAAGAAAAAAATTATTGAAGACAAAATCTGTATTTAAATGTAAATAAAATAAATATTTGGCTGATATGGCTAGTGCTCTTTTTTTATTATGAGCCTTGCATGTTGCAATGTAAGAATTTTGCCAACTTTTTTTATTGCTTTTACTGAGAGAAGTAATAGCATTCTCATACTTTGAGTTCTTAGTGTATTCATATCAATAGCATTTCTGCTTCTTAGATCTAGTAATTAAATTCTACTTTGACATAATATTTTTTTCAAATTGTTCCAACTGGAATAGAACTTTTTGTATATTTCTACGAAGATTAAAGAGAAACTCATGGTGATTAATAAAACATTTATAATGTAATATACATATAGTTAATATATTAAATTATATTATATTATATTATATTATCTGAATCTACAGCTGCTAGAACCTTAGTTCGAATTTGTCCTATTCCTTTCTTTATTAGTTGGTCTGGGGTTTGTGTAATGGGAAATACTGTTGGAGAAATCAATGATTTGGGAAAACCTTTTAGAGTGGTAGTATATTCAGCTCTAAGAATATATTTTATTCTACATAATATATTTTTAAAGACCTCATTCATGGATTATGAATGTTTAAAAAGCACATCGTTAGCAAGGATTCTCCATGAAAACGGTTCACCTTTCTGAGAGGCGAAGTGTGTGATTCTTAGCATTTTCTTTTGCTTCCAGCTCATGCCTTCCCTTTCCTGTGCCATCACTAACTCCTGTCTATTAGCCAGTTCTAAGTACATAGAGACTCCAGTCTTTTGTGAACAGGCTTCACTGTACCTTTAACTGTCTTCGAACAATTCTTCCAACCTCATCACCTTAATGGACATTTTCTCTTTCTTGAGCATATTTTTCTCTTCCACTTCTATCTCGTGGGTCCCCAATCTATTCCTTTGCCCTTTGGTTCTCTGGGCCAGCAGATGAGCCTCACACACTCCTACCATCTCTAAGGCTACTTCCAGAATGAGTACATTTGGCCTGATTATTCTATTGCAGTGAACTAAGGGTTTCAGAAGCATTGTTTTATTCCCCTAATCCTTCACTTTTAATCCCCCAAGTAAGTTGATTGGGCTGTATCTCTTTTCTATTTGAGGTTGAGAAAACTCTGTGTCTTTTGACTTAAAAAATTAACTGAAATTTTAATTTTATTCATGACTCAGTCAATTCTTAAATGTTTTTTTCATTTTTCATTTTTATGTGTACACAGCAGGTACATATGAGGTACATGTGATATTTTGATACAGGAATGCAGTGTCTAATAATTACATCAGGGTAAATGAGGTATTCATCACCTCCAGCACTTACCATTAATAAGCATTCCAATTATACTTTTAGTAACTTTAAAATGTACAATAAATTATTGTTGACTAGTCACCTTGTTGTGCTATCCAAGACTAGATTTTATTCATTCTATCTAACTATATTTTTGTACCCATTAATTAGCCACATTGCTCTCCTCCTGCTACTCCTCCCAGCCTCTGGTAACCATCCTTCTCTTCTCCATCACCATGAGTTCAGTTGTTTTAATTCTCTCACAAATGGTTGAGAATATGTGAAGTTTATCTTTCAGTGCCTGGCTTATTTCACTCATCATAATGTCTTCCACTTCCATCCCTTTGATATAAATTTAGAATGCAATTTTTTTCCTCAATGCCAACTCAATGGTAAAATATAAGTATCCATCAATTCTGGTCGATTGATTATGGTATCATGAAATATTACATAGCAGTCAAAATAATACATATTTATATCTGCTACTGTGGAATGATGTCAAATAATTAAACAAAATTAGCTAGAAATAGGATAATATGTATTTTGCCAGCAGATTTGAAAAAATAAAGTAGATATAATATTGGTTCCGCATAGAATATTTCCGGAAAGCGACAAGGAAATTGTTATGATGCCTGAATTTAGCAGAAAGTACTAGGGGGCGAGGGGAGAGTTTTATTTTTAATTTGTATTGTACGTACTTACCTTAAATGAAAACAGGTGGTATAGTGACACAAGAATTATGGGCCATTATTGTTTTTTAAGTTTTACAGTTCTCTAAAAAAGTAAAAATTTACATTGTAAAAGGTGCTAATCATACATTTAGTTTCTACTAATTCAGATTTTCCTAGTGATTTGTGACACGGTTTTGTCAAAGCATTAATACATACGCTTCAGAACTACTGGATTTATCTAGGAGAGTTTCTAAATAAAGTCAAGTCCTGATCACTCTTACAATCTTAAGTCATAAACCACTTTCTCGTCGAGAAAAAAGTGAAGTCTAGCAGTGATCTGTGGTGAAAAGCTCTAAGCAATTCTCATGTATGATATTCATTTCAGATACCTGCAGTTAGTTGAGGTAAATAATGCCATTTGGTTTTGAGGAAATGGACACCAAGTAAACGTATAGCACATTTGGGGATGAGAGTGTGTTGTCCTTTCTTTAGGATAGGTTATAATACTCATTAGGTTCATTCTAGAGGAATTAAGCCAAACACATCAATAGGCTGAATTGGTAGCCAAGATTAAGTCTATTCTTCATTGCAAAAGTGAAGCAATTATTTTGGCAAGATTTCTTCTCATGCAGCATTTTTAAAGAGGTGACTGATATGATTATTTTTGTGCACAGACATTCTGCTTCAAAGACTGGGAGAGCCATGTAGACTATTTTAATATCATAATAGTCCTTTAAAGTTGTGTGAAATCACCTATGTGCTGATCAAAAGAGGTGGAATTCCTTTGTGATTGTAGATGAAAATGTCTCAAATATTTATAGCGTATAAAGAGTTTAATTTTTGAAACAATCTATTTAATTCAAATAACTTTGAAGACTGTATTCATATTATATATTGTAACACCGAGGTCAACAGTTCAAACAATTTCTGATTTAATATGAAAATATTATTGAAATCCATGTAGTCTGTATCTTTTAAAGTCTCTTTTATCTCCCGCTCCTGTCTCTTCATTACAAAACAACATTGTTCTCTGAAAGGCATGTTAGTCTTTGTTCTGTTCTCTGTGATTGCAAAGTGATTGTTTGATGATTCCTTCTTTTCTTTCTTGGCATTGAAGTTTGGGTGACAGCTCCTTAATTACCAGGGTTTCCTTTTCCCTTTTGATGAACAGATAATCCTCTAACTCTCCCTCAGTCTCCAGGAATTGACCTCCACCATGCGTCTTAAACTAGCCAGTGTCTCTTAAGTACCTTTTCCAGGAAAACTCTCAAACCATGTTTTTCCTCTGCTTTTATACAACAATCATCAACACGAAAGACTTCAGTGACCAAAGATGTGGGTTTTTTTCACCACACACCAAGCATCCAAAACCAGATAAGTGTCCTCGAATTCAATTTTGACACTATCTACCTGGAGATCC